CGGAACAAAGTCCTGTAAGAACTTAACATCTTGGACACTTCTAAGCTTCTGCATTTCTGCATGATGTAGGCAGAACACAGTACTGTAAGAATGTAACACCTTGGACACTTCTAAGCTTCTGGAGTTCTGCATGATGTAGGCAGAACACAGTCCTGTAAGAATGTAACACCTTGGACACTTCTAAGCTTCTGGAGTTCTGCATGATGTAGGCAGAACACAGTCCTGTAAGAATGTAACATCCTGGAGAAATTTAATCTGCTATCTGCGCACAACCGTCCCTAGTTTCAAACTTATCAATTAAAAGAAAAGCAGCTCGTCAATAGAAGCCACTGCCAACTCTTCGGCTGCTACTCTTAGCAGACCAAATAGTGGAATTCCACCGTCACTCGTATAGCGCAATCCACGTCTCCAATGTGCGTATAGCGTTTTGGTGAAAACGGACCGTGATACAAGAACCCTCGGATTCAGAGTCCGTAAACGCTTATCATTATGCGAAATTCTGAAACAAATAAACATTTTACTAAGTGGCGGAAGCTACTCTCAGGATTTGTTGCTGTGAATGTTGATTATTTCATATAAAAACGCTGCTTAGGAGATAAAGCATGAACTCCTATTCAAGGAACGAAGTCAAATGTGGTACGTCACTAATTGGGACAAGATAAAGTCACACACACGAACACTTGAAAAGCAGACAATGGTAAATCAAATGACTTGTGACCATATCTTCCCTTGGTCATCTCTTTATTTGCTATTCTATCGTCCCCCGGTGGGACAGCGATAAGTCTCCGGATTTACAACGTTAAAATCAGAGGCTCAATTCCCCTCGTTGGACACAGCAGATAGCCCGATGTAGTTTTGCTATAAGAAAAACACACAAACACACGCTATTCTATCGGATGTTACTATAACGTGGAAATGTTTGTAACAAATCATCAGCTCACTTCCATACATTAATGTGTTGTGGAACAGCCCATAGGTGAATGTGTGAATGTATTTTCTTCAGAGCAGAGCTACAGAATAGGCTTTCTGTGTTCTGTTCACCAAAGAACTGAACCCCTTAATGTGTTGTGGAACAGCCCATAGGTGAGTGTGTGAATGTATTTGTTTCAGCGCAAAGCTACAGAATAGGCTTTCTGTGTTCTGTCCTCCAAAGAACTGAACCCCTTAATGTGTTGTGGAACAGCCCATAGATGAA